TACAGACTTTCCAAAACCAAAAAAAAAAAAAAAAAAAAAAAAAAATCCACGCCTGATTGCTGACGTCACAAAGTAACCACGAGGAGATGCACGGGCGAGAAACCTGAAGCTCTCAGTCACGTATCGTTGCAAGTCGTCGAACTTACCGCGCGTGATTGATGCCGTGCCAAGAGCCTGCACATATGTCGCCGCCCCTGTCAGTTGAGGTAAAAACACGGGGGGACTGGCCGTGTTCCCCCGTTTGCCGTGCGTTGCATGATGGGCGGGAGAAGTGCACGCCGCTGGGAGTTTCAGCGGCCGGGGGGAAATTTGGCTGGGCTGGACAGGGCAGGGGCAGGGGCAGGGCAGGGCAGCAATGGGCTGTTGGATGTGACCGCGCTGTGGGCAGAAATGTGCCGGCGATCTCAGTTGAGAGGGACGGGTCCCGATTGTCCCACTTGCTCGCGTTTGCGTTCCTGACCATCGATCTTCATCATCAGCCGTTATAAATAGAAGAAATGGGGGGGGAGCGGGCCCTGCGGTAGGAGTGCGGGCGCCTAGCGGCTTCCCGCGGGGAAGAGGGATCAGCGAAAAACCGTCTAAACGGGTAGCGGCCAACAAGTTCACCCAAAAAGCCCATTTCGACACTTCAGGTCCCACACGCCCCCTGTTGGCAGCCCGTAGGGGTCGATTGAGTTTATACACCCTGGGCATTTTCGTCCTTCGTTGCTTCGCGCTGGGAGAGGGAGCGGGATCAGCGAAAAACCGTCTGGACGGCTACCGTCCAGTCCAACGAAGTTCACCGAAAATGCTGAGAGAGTGGATTCTGTTCTGATCACTGGTCCATCGGAGGGGTCATAGGGGTAAGCTTTGCTAACTCCACCTGAAACCAGTGTTGCCTCTGTATTGCAGCGCATAGAGAGCGGGGCGCAGCCCTCAAATAAATTTAAAAAAAACAAAACGTCTCCAACAAGTTCACCCAGGAAGCTCAGGTCCGAGACCCTGACGTTCGAAGCCCGTAGGGTCGTGTTCAGGGACCCCTGCCTTCTTCTCTCAATTTCAACTTTCACTATCTACCTACCACTACTGACTTACGGGTGCACAGCTCGTAGTTTGTTTGTTGATGTGGTTGGGTAAGCGTAAGGTAGTGATTACGCTGTGTGTATGTTTTGTCATGTTCAGTAAACACAACTCGGGGGAGGGGGACCCGTTTGGTGCTTTGTCCACGTGTATGTGGGGTCCCGGTTGGTGCTTTATTCACAATGTTCATGGGACGCTGCACCCAGTTTCCAGCAGGTGGTACTCCCCATCAATAGACAGGAGAATGTGTGTGTGTGTGTGTGTGTGTGTGTGTGTGTGTGTGTGTGTGTGTGTGTGTGTGTGAGAGAGAGAGCCCTGCAGCATGCAGCATGTCAGTGGCCGGGAGCACAAGGGCAGGCGCTGACCTCCACAAAAAAAAAGAAAAAAGTAATCCACAGCATTGGCCGCGGGGGGAGGCCGATGTTGCGCTGCGTGCCAGAATCGGGTTGAAGTTTTGAAGCGGGCTGGCGGATGAGGGCGATTGAGGGAGGGGGGGGGTGCAGAGCGGTGCGCGTACCGAGTTGTTCACAGCGCGCCAGAAAACGAGAGAGCGCACCCACGGGGCCCAGCGGCGGCAGCCGTGAACAAACAGTGCAAAGGAGCAATTCATTTGGTAGTGTCGCGGTCGCCCATAAAATTAAGAAAGCCATCATTAAGGCGAATAAAGCAATAGCTTCAGTTAAAGCAAAACCTAAAATGGGTAGGGGTCAGAGGTGAGTCTCTGCCCTCTGAACCGTACGTGACAGTTTCCCATCATACAGCTCTGTCGAAGCGAGGGAAGATCTCGAAGCACCGACCGTCGGATAGCAAGGAAGTGTCGTTTTGTGGCCCGCCCCCTTGTTTTTTTTCTTTCTGTTTTGGATCGGTTTTCTTTTTTTTCTTCTTCTTTTCGTTTCTCTTTTATTTTTCCCTCCTTTTCTTTCTTATTTTCGTCTCTGTTTTTGGCGGCCTCTTTTCCTTTTCTTTCTTATTTTCGTCTCTGTTTTTGGCGGCCTCTTTTTCCTTTTTGGCGTTGTCGGTGCGAATACCCTTACAAGGGTATCTGCCCTGGTTTTTGCAAGCGACAAAAAATCAGTTTAGTATAAAGTTTGAATATACCGCGCGAGTAGCAGCCGTGTCCGTTGTCTATGCGGTTGATGGTTGACTAGAATAAAGAGTGTGTGGACGAGCGGAATTGAGGTGCGCGTGATCTTTTTAATTGTTGATGATTGAAGAGTCGGCGTGATTGCCGACCAAAATTTTTTTTTTTTCTATTTTCTGATTAAGTTAGGTTTAAAAAGATTATGTCTCGTTGATTGAAGTGCTTGTCTGCAACCTATGCGTACGTACGGAGAATGACATCGACAATGAGGGGGCTTTGAAGGGTTTTCAGTTGGCCCGTGCACCGCGCAATATCGGTTTATTTAGGCGTCGGTCAGAGCTAGGCCTAGACTTGGGCCTAGCACTATTAGTTACAACATCGGACTTTCATCGGGGAGATTCAGGGATCGAGACCGAGGGGGGACGGCGTTGGAATATCAGGGTAGCGTGAAGGGACCGAGGGGTAGAAAGCCCGACGGGCTATCCCCCTTGGTCTTTTGCCGACGGTGGCGTCAGAACGATGCTAGCATTTTTGTCTCCCTCGTTCGGCATGATCTGGCGATTAAAGGCTTCTAAGTATGTTTATTATTTATTGCTTTGGCGCCCCGTTGACCTGGAAGCGACGCCGGATGTAGCGGCCATCGTGGGTGGCCGAGGATCTTGGGCATGCGCCTCTTTTGACGGGGGCCGGCTGGGTCTCCGCGTGTTTGAGATGATGACGAAGTTCCTCTATCCTGCCTGCCGTGAAAAGTCGGGCCGAGGAGCCCAATGTGCATGCGAGTTGGCGGGGGATTAGCTCACGGGCCGGAAGGAATTCGAGTGGTAGGACTTTTTTTGCCGGGGCACCGAGGGAAGGCCGCGGCAGCAGCCCACCTGCGGGAGCCTTTTCCACTTCGATCTTCAAAGTTCTCATTGAAACTTTTGCTACTACTACCAAGATCTGCACCGGGACCCGCTTCACCTATTCACGCTACAAGGTTCGCAGCAGGCCCATGGCTTTCCTAAGGGTCGCACTGCCACCACGGTCGAGTGTAGGTCGCACGTTGCGGCCGTTTTCGGGGCTGGCCAATAGGGCGGCTGAGTATAAGTCGCCCGCTTAGGCGCCATCCGCTTTCTAGACTGGCGGAAAAGGGGGGGGGGGGGCGTAATGTTGACCGTGCAGCAGGGCTATCCCCGCGGCCATTCCCATACAAGTTTTTGTTTGAATATCAGCCACTACCGCCGAGACCTATACCAGACCCGGGGCGCCTAGGCCCAGGTTTGGGGTTTAAGGCAAGCCGCTCCCTTGGCTCCGCGTAGGGCTGTCCCTATAGGGGTTGCCCGTTGGGGACCAGAGGAGGTGGTGGGCTCAGCCAGAGTAAAAGCGAACAGGGGGGCTGAAGCGGGCTGACAACGAAACCAGTCGGACGCACGGCTTGTCGGACAGAGCATAGGGGCGAAAGGCTTTGAGCCGCCTAGTAGTCGGTCATCCCCAGACTCCCCTTAGAACGGTCGGGACTGTTGAGTCGCTGGCCAGTCGGCGTGGAAACTAGCGCTGCGTAGTTGAGCCCTGTCGGGAAGATAGCGTTGGCCGGGAGGGTGAGCGGAGAACGAGGAGATGAAGTAACGAGGGCGGAGCACAAAAGGGCAAGGCGGAGCGGAGTGCTGCGAGTGAGGCAGAGTAGTGACGAGTAGTGGAGCGACGGGTACTAAGGCGGAAAGGAGAAAAGGAAAGAACGAACCCGGGCGGAAAGATGCGTCGGGTGCATGCGAAGAGCCACGGGCTATGGCAGAAGGAGAAGGGAGTGAAAAAACGTAAGGCCCGCACGATCCTTGATGGAAACGGGCGGGGAAAGAGTCGAGTTTAAGGTTTTCGCCCTGGGCGAACTCGAATATAAGATTAGTTTTGGGGGTAGATTAGTAGAACGGGTGCTAGGAGGGAAATATAGTGCGCGGGGTATCGGGAAATAAGCTATGGTGGGAGTAGGAGACATCAAGCCCACTCGATTCTTGAAGGAATCAAGTGTGGGAGAAGGCAACTTTGGGGTTTTCGACCATCACGAACATGATGGCGAGGTCAGTTTTGGCATTAGGTTAGTAAAGAAAGCAGTAGAGAGAAAGTAGATTGCGGGGAGGTCCTCGGAAATAGCTATGGTGAGGACAGATAAATACGAAAAAGTCAACCGAATCTCAACGAATCCAATCGAATAAAGATACAATTCAGGGGGTTTTAAACATCGCGAAGCTAATGGTGGAGTGTGATTCTTGATCCAAACGGCGGTTCCGCAAGTAAGAGGAATAGGGGTTGCACGTAGGAGGACCGGTGTTGAAGTGTTGTATAGCTGGCTGTCTCTCGGCGGGAGATTCACTCGATTTTGCTCATCCTATCGGTGGGAGGGGTGTGATGGACAGCCATGGGGTGGAAGGCTTACCTTCGGGACAATGTGTTGCACATCCTATCAGGGGGAAAAAAAACTCTCTGTAGTCCAGTGCGCACTGAGAAGGTGCGCGGTTCGGTCGATCTTTGAAGGAAAGAACGGGCCGCTTGCGGCCAGTCGACTGAGCGAATGCGGCGGGCCGAATTGGATATCGCAGTATGACCGCACCCTACTGTTGGGACTGGCATGCAAATGCAGAAAGGGTGTTGCGGCGTGAACCGAAAGCCGAGCCACAGTGCCAAACTGTGCAGAGTGCAAACGAAGCAAAGCCGGAAAGAGCAGCATTTGGTTGCATACTTACGTGCTTTAGCGGGATGATTCATGCTCATTGTGCCTACTTGGTGGGTACAAGGGTCGGCACGTAATAAGTCATTCCTTCGCCATCATCCCCGTCGCAGTTGTAGGAACTGTTGTGTGTAGCCTCACTGTCGACACTCTTGGCGCGGGGGGGGGGGGACTCACCCGTGTGGAGTACTATCCACGGTAACTGTCTGTGATGGTTACACGCCGTGTGGATTGGGCTTCAGCCTATGCTCAAGAGTCATGGCCAGTGCACTTCGAATCAAGGTTTGTTCCATTCGATAAGTTGAGTTGAGTTGCCGACTAGCTGCTGTACCTTGTTGCTGCGGATAACGATTGTGTTTTGTTGTGAGTTACAGTGTGTTGCCATTACACGCTACCGCTAGTGTCCCACTTGCATCGCATGTAGTTCTTTGCAGGACGATGAGTTTGTTGTACGGTGTGACTGGGTTGTTGGTGTTGCCTTGCGCTCCGTTACTTCACTGCCGTGTCGCTCATCCACAGGCCGTGCTTTCTGTGTTTGCCATGCTCGAGCTGTTGCTGTTCTTCTCAATCAACAGACTACAGATTCGGGGCATCTTTGACCCCTACAACAGCACGGTGTCATTTGGAGCACAGATACTTGAAGGACTGCGATTTCTGCAGACAGCGGGCTGCAACTAGGGAAGTATTTTTGTT